TTGACAACATGCGAGTAGCTCACGCTGAACGAGGAAGGAAATCGGTGTGAACTCGTGTTTATGCATATGTTTTCTTGACTAAGCGGTGTTCAGTCAACCACGACCTATGTTGTTAACAATATGGGATTTCTCAATTCACCCTACATCAATTTCTACAGACGTCTGAACACCCACTGTGTGTTCTGTATAGGACATTTTCACCGACTAGAACCTTTTCAATTGTGTAGTACTGACCCTTTTGAATCCCCAACATTTCAGAATCATATGAATGTAAAGTATATATATATATATATATATATGTGTGTGCGTGTGCAGCGGAAATTATCTGGTTTGAGAGCTCAACCAGCGCTTGAAACTAACAGTTTCGTCCTGTAATCCTCATAATGATAACATTCAGCAAAACCCTTAAAAAGGGCAAATTTCTACTAGTCCTTATGATATTGGGCAGTTTGGCAAGGACTACGTACAGGACTAGTGTCAATTTCTATCACTGGAAACACACCCAAGCAAAGGTCGATGGTGTGTGTGTAATACTAACATATAATCCCGGAAATAAAGTTATCTTATTTAAACATATATATCTACAAATAAGAAATAAAATCCAAATGGGACCCAGAACATTGCTTAATTTTAGGCTGGAACTTAGGCAATCTAGACTTGCTTAATCATTCTAGACTTGAGTTGGATTCCTTATTTTATTTGTCCTCTAGGGTCTGGGAGACTGACTATGACTATGAGTGAGTTACTTATTTCACTGTTCGCTGGTATACATTAATGTCCATTATCTTGGGAACTTTCTCAACATGATTGCATACAGCTATAAGCTACGTACATAGTGTTTGGTTTTGATCTGCATTATTTTATCATTTTTTTAAGTACAGTCCTCTCTTATGCAGTAACCCTTATAGGTTAGGTGAGGTGAGGTGAGGTGAGGTGAGGTGAGGTGTGTGTGTGTGTGTGTGTGAGAGAGAGAGAGAGAGAGAGAGAGAGAGAGAGAGACTGCTTGTACTAGTCGGACTAATGCTTATTTTATAGCGCCAGTTCACTGTGTGTGTGTGAGAGAGAGAGAGAGAGAGAGAGAGAGAGCGAGAGAGGGAGAGAGAAAGAGAGAGAGAGAGACTACTTGTACTAGTCGGACTAATGCTTATTTTATAGCGCCAGTTCACTGAGTTTAACCACGGACTTGTTATACAAGGATCATGCAGGTGTGTGTGGCTGCTTGTACTAGTCAGGTTTTATGGTGCTGGCCCATGCTGAGGTTTCACATGGATAACCCACTCAGATACAGTTTACTGACTCCAATCCAACCACTCCTTGTTTTAGCCCCTTATTGTCGGGCGCCAGGCGGGGTAACAAGTACCATTTTAAACGTCTCTTGGTACATTTGACGCGGCCGGGGATCGAACCCTCGACAATCCTCTCTCCAGGCAGACGCTCTACCACTAGGCAATGGAGGCAGTTTACCGTTATAGGACAAAGGGAAAACATTCATGTGTTTAGATGTTGGGGTCGAACCCTCGACAATACGCTCTCCAGGCAGACGCTCTACCACTAGGCAATGGAGGCGGTTTACCGTTATAGGACAAAGGGAAAACATTCATGTGTCCAGTTGTTTGGCAATATTCAAACTGAAATGCTTAATGTTATAAAAGTATAACGACGTGACCCTTGACAGAAGGGCGATGAGGTGACGTCACGGAGATGAACATAGAGCATTACAAGAGATGGATGGGTGCAGCTATCCACTTTATGTGGAGAACTGATCACGTGACCACCAAACGGCCCCAACACAGGATATATGTACACCTCATGCATAATGAATATAACAGTGCAGACATCAACTATCGTATTAAACGCCGGGGTAGAGGGTATCTGAAAACAACAAACGCCGGGTTTCGATTGAACGCCGGGGACTGTATGAGTACAACATATAGTGCCCGGTAAAGTCCCCCTAAACAGAAGCATATACATGTATAAGAACGTTTAAACTACGGTACAGTCAGTCTTGACGCCGCTCTGAACAGTATTCCCGTTACATCACGGTGTACACCTCATGCATGATGAATATAACAGTGCAGACATCAACTATCGTATTAAACGCCGGGGTAGAGGGTATCTGAAAACAACAAACGCCGGGTTTCGATTGAACGCCGGGTTTCGATTGAACGCCGGGCACTGTATGAGTTACCCTAAAGTCCCCCTAAACAGAAGCGTATACATGTATATGAACGTTTAAACTACGGTACAGTCAGTCTTAACGCCGCTCTGAACAGTATTCCCGTTACATCACGGCGTGTCAGCTGTATGTGGGAGGAAACCCCAGGTCTTGAACGTTGGGGAAACCCCCAGCACGGGTATCTGATTTTGTTTAGTTACATGGAACGTGCATTCACGAACACAAAGCAGTAACATTTTAAGAATTTCATAAAACACAATATGCAGTAAACTGCTCAAAGGGACCACTAATTTTAGTTCGTTATATCCTTCGTTCGTTAATCACATTTCGACCGTTAGACATCTTTTACCAAGTCATGTGACATCATTTTACTCGATAAATAACAAAAGTTTGCACTGTACATGTACAGAATATATCCACTTCAATCACTATGTTACTATTGTTAATTGAGGGTGTAATTTGCATCCAGTTGTTTATTGACGCTTTAAACAGACTCCCCTTTCGAAAACCAAATGAAGTATGTTGAAGGCAGTAAAATTATCCAAAAGAGGACTTTGTATTTTGGACCCCCTTTGGCGTTAAACAAACCAAAGACGTATATAGATAGGATGGGAAGCCCGCATCGATAGCCTTTGGCGATGTGCGCCGCGCAAGTAATTCGACATCACATGTGAACGACCTTCTGCCTTGAGTAGAGAGTGCTCGACCTTTAGCCATCAGGCCCTTGCGCAATGCCAAGTGTATCTATATACGTCTTCGAACAAACAAATCTCATCTGTAAATATAGGACTATGTGAGTTTCTGTCCATGTTATCAAAGCACTGGGTCAGGATTTCCCATCAATATATCAGTTATGACATTCCATGAAAGTGTTATGCATGCATGCATGTATTGTGACCCATGGATATGAATGAAATCTTCTTCTTTTTTAAATAAATGTTGAAAGTATGAACACAGATATATGCTCTCCCACATTATCGTGTGCAGAATATTACACCTAACAAAGTAATATAATACCGCACAAGTTCAAATTAATATGTATACGGGACAGCATAATTATACTATATATGTTATTTTATAGCTAATTCAGATAACCGGTGAACGTTATATTTCAGTAAAAAAAACACAAACTCTGAATGTTCATTATTTTTCTATGCATATTCTAGTGTTATGTTTTCACAAATAGAAGCAGCCATTTTGGGTATTAGGCATGAGGCAAAGTATTGTGTTCTTAACGCAAGTTCATCCTGTATATATCATATATAGATATATTACTGAGGCGTGCAACCCCCTTTCGGTCAACGCGGGATTCGGGGGGTTGGGGCTGTCTACTTAAAGGATATTCTGGACACGATACAGTTTAGCACGCAGGACGCAAATAAAATCTTATTCCGTACGCATATTCGATCTTTAAAAAAATGTTGTACGCAAAATGTCCTTTATTATTATATATATTCGATATGTTTAAGTAATTAACTTCAAATCGAATCCTTTTCTTAATGGTTTTAAGATGTGTGTTAAGTAGTATTCGGGAGTTAGGGGTGAGCAATGGGACTCGGAGAGAAAACTTAGACCAAGGATTCAGGATTAAGGGGAAGTGTGTGGGTAGTGGAGGGGGTGGGGGTAGAGGTGGTGTGGGATGGGGGTGGGTGGGGGGGCTCAATGTTAAACAAAGCAAACCAGCTTGCCTCGTCCCGGTGCGGGAATACTCAACGGACAATACACGGAGAGTGACAACACTTCTCGTGTAACAACAGAATCTTTACAACAAGTGACCTGGTCAACGGGAGGTATTTCGACAGGTAATTTATTTCAATGTTAATTTATATGATGATAGGTGAACTGAACTCTGTGTTGGACATTTAAAGCTTTGTATTTGCTACTTAAATAATACTTGAATAAAGGCAGTTTCTCGGTTTTGTCCTCTAGATACTCTACTGAACTAAATTCGACGCGAAAGTATTAAACGAAACAACATTTCTGCTCGTAAATAACATGTTAATATAAGCTAGTACACTGCTCAATCTTCGCATTGGAGCAATTTATATACATGGGCGGATACAGAGGGGTGCGGGGGTGCGCACCCCTCCTTTTATTTCGAAAAAAATCTTTATTTCTGTATAAATTACCACCAAAGACAATAAATAGATCTTAATTGTGCACCCCCCCCCCCCCCCCCCCCCCCTTTTCAAAAAAGGTATCCGCCCATGATATATATTAATCTATTCTTGATAGTATTCTTAATTATTATGCTTGAGAAATCATAGATGCACCCTTTGTTTAATAAGCTTATTCGTATATTAACCTGCCTCTAATTTATCACAGAATGGGGTCTTATGTCTGTATGCAACACTTTCCACGTGTATGAAGTGAAACAATTTAACTCGAGGGCAAAAGAAATGCTGTCGAACGACTCGGTGCTGATCTAGTGACGTCATCAAGGTGACGTCAGGGCATTAAATAATAATTTTATTGTGATGAGATCAGATAACCCGTCCTTACGTTCAGATAGCATAAATCGTCTAACAACAATATAGCTCTCAACAAAGACCCAAAGGCCAGCTATTGCATCTAACTGCTGCGTTAGATGCACGTGCATTAGCCTTGTCCAGTAGTCATGTATTCGTCGTTTGAAATCATTATAATGCCATTGAACTCCCTTGTTGATATCTGTATAATCTACATGGTATAGGACAAAACAATCGGGGCACCTACAACAGACTGTTTGTTGTTAGATTGTTGGGACAGGGAAAAATCGCGTTGAGCGCGCCACATATAGAGCGTGTCGTCACACAAGTAGCATAGCGCTTGCAGGTAAGTGACAAGTGCGATCGTTGACAAATGACAACATATCAACTTCAGCCAATCTAATTTAGTTTGGGGAATTTGTGAAAACAAGTAGCTACATATATTGCAGGGTCTGATATCACACCAGTTTCGACTTGTAAATATGCGGAACAGACGGGACTATATTTTCAGTCGACCAAGCCTTGTGATGTCACCGTTTGTGAGTGTGACATCGCTTGACTGAGAGTTTCAAAGCTTGTTGACGGATGGTGTCGCAAAAGGAGGCGTGGATAAGCGAATTCCGACGCTGAGATGTCACAATCTTAGCCTCAGGTCTTTTTCGTTTCCGTCCCTATTTCCTATTCCATGGTTTAGAGACTTAAATCGATTTTGTCACGGACATAACGTTTCGCATGGACTTGGATCGGAGCCAAACCAACCCCTCCCATCACCTGAGATTGACAAGTAATAACAATGACATCACATCTTTGCACGTGAAACGTTATGAAGTAATACAAGTTATAGCATATCTGTGATGGACATACTAGAATTGTTATCTTGATTTGTGGGTGTTAGACCTTATATTGATACACTGTGCAAAATCAAAATATTATGTATTGATAGTGTTTGTAAGTTTAAATATTTATTTATTATCGCTAAACGAAGGAATAATTCAACAAAGCCCGGCATATCTTGGTAATCATAGCTATCAAAGCGATAAGCTAGGGTTAATGCATGATGTCACCATTATCAAAGAAATGTGCTGACTTCACATATGAGTGAATTGTCTTTGTTCTTCATTTTCACCACATCTACTGCAGAAGTTTACTTGTAGATCTACCATGAGTAGACTTTATCTAATTGCACATCTTTGCATCTATTGTATATCTTCACGCTTCTTGAACGACCACCTATTTGTGGACTGGTTACCAACCTCAGAAACATGCTGAAAATATGACCATTTTTAATTTACTAACAACTGGCTTGTTATACAGAATGCACATGACTTCCAAGAATAGAGGCATATAGTTATCATCATGTCTACACCCGTGCGAGACCCCTTCGAAGACCTCCTAGACATGGGGGAAGACGAGAAGGGGGTAGAGTCGTTACCCCCTCTGCCTGCATCCCAGCCCCCTCAGGTGAGTGTTGCTTAGCTTTGCATCCTAGCTGGTACCCTTCCCAGCGATAGAAATTGGTACTTGTCCATGGGCGGATACAGAGGGGGGGTGCGGGGGTGCGCACCCCCCCTTTTTATTTCAAAAAAAATCTTTATTTCTGTATAAACTACCACCAAAGACAATAAATAGATCTTAATTGTGCACCCCCCTTTTCCAAAAAAGCTGTATACGCCCATGTTGTCCTGTAGCTCTTGCCAAACCACCCAATAGTTAAGGTAACATGAGGACTAGTAGAAATTTGCCATTTTTAAGGGTTTTGCTATATGTTATCATTATAAGGACTAGTGGATCATTAATGTTAGTTTCTATCTCTGCTTCACCAGCCAATGTTGGCCTATAGATCTTGTAGAAGTGCTGCAGTGTGTTGTGGTAAATTGAGCCATTGCTTCTGTCATTAGATTAAGTTACCTGTGAAGATCCAGGTTAGAATAGGTCTTCAGCAACCCATACTTGTCATAAGAGGTGACTATGCTTTTCATTAGAGGTGGGTGGTCAGGCCCGTTTGTTGATGCATGTCACCATATCCCTATTGTGTAGATCGATGCTCATGATGTCAATCACTGGATTGTCTGGTCCAGACTCGATTATTTTCAGACCGCCGTCAAATAACTGGAATATTGCTGAGTGCGTCGTTAAACAACAAGCAAACATTAGGGCAAAATGGTTCAAGATTGAACCATGTTATAACCTTTGAGTTAAATGCAACACCCATAAAACTTCCAGCCCATGATGTGACTCGAACCCTGACTTTCTTATCTGAGGACGGAAGGCTAGTCCCCATGACCTGAGGTTTACCTCATGAACAAGTTGACAAGGTTGGGCACTGACGGATTCAGAGGCAGGGTGCAGCCAAATCAATTCATGCACCCCTTATTTTTAAAATCCTGCCTCTGCCTCTGAAGGGATGTCATCTGCAGGATAAACCCACCTCTAGTTACAAATCACGATAAACAGTGTGTGGTTTGAATGACCTGATTAATACTTCCTGAATGACCTGAATCCAAGGCTGTAGTTAACTTTTTTTGACTGGGGGGGGGGGGCACATATTTGTACAAGTATCACTTGTCCCAAACTTGTATTTTCATCATTCAAATAAAACTGTTTTCTATAAAACATTCAGGGGGGCAACTGCCCCCCCTGCCCCCCGGCTGCCTACGGCACTGGATTCATACTTCCTGAATGACCTGATAGATACTTGGTGGATGCATGCGGAAATAACCTTTAACCATCAGGACCAAAGCAAGTGCAGATACAGCAAAGGAGAGGTGCTCTTTGTGATTTGGCAATATATGTTCGGTAGCTTTGTTGAAAATATATTCGCCAAGCGAGTTAGTCATAGGGTTGTTTTACATTTACTTTTACTTTTTAGTGAACTGGATCACCCTGAAAATTACTAAATTCAGAGCCTCAGATAAGCAGCGTATTTGCGTAAAATACCCCCCACCCCACAAAAAAAATAAAAATATTCGAAACCCAATGAAGCTTTTTCAGCATGCATTCAAAGAAGCTAATTTCCGAAATACAATTATGAGCTAATTTACTTACCGAGTCAAGCCTATATATTTAGAACAGTTATATACATCTAAAACATTATTTCATTTTTTAAAAATCTTAAAATGTTCACTCTTTTTGGGAAAAACCCAATAGATTGATAAAATAGATGAGTGAAAAAATATTGGTTACCCAATGACAAATGTAATAACCCAATTAAAATAGAAACCCTAGAGTAAAAACTCAATTGCTCGAAAAGTTATCTGGAGCTCTGCAATTGTATAAATGTTAAGTATTCTTAAAAAAGGTATGTGCACCTTGCACTCCATCTGGATGCATATATCCATAGATATGCAGATATGTTTCATGCAGTATGTGCACAAGACAATTAGAGTCTACTGGCCCAAACAAGATGCTGAAGATAATTTCAGTAGATTTTGTGTAGTTATGAGGACCACTTTTAGCTGAGCTTACCATGCTTACTAGACCAAACATAATTTCACTAGACTCGGGCTTGAGACTAGTGGCTGAAGTCAAAAGGGTGGTAATATCTAGAATCTAATGTCATTGCATGGTTAAGAGCGCTGTCTACATGCCTGTCTGATAACATGCTATATTACATAGTGCAAGAGCAGGGTTATGTACAGGCAAGGGATTTATCACATAGGAAATATTGGGTTTTTCTTTCATCGGACATCCCTGTTTGCCAGAACTGAATGTGTACCTGTTCGGTGAATATAGGACACAATGTTATCAGTTTGATTGATAACCTACAATGTGACAACAGGCAATAGTAGTACTAACAGGTGATGAACAATGGAATGACATCACAGCAGTGTGCGAGTCAAGGGTCACTTGTCTGTGTGTGTAAGTATTACTGGCTAGTGTAGTGGGTATATTCATACATATGTGACATTGATTCAGACACACAGTTGCACTTCCTGATGGTGAAGTGTAGCAACTGTTGACTATAACTCAAGAGTTGCACGCTGAATCAAGAGCCTTGGTTGTACGGTATTTTACAGTTGGCAGTGTGATATTTTTCTATTGTCAGTGTTCGAAATTGAGGATGAAAGTACAGTATTCCTTGTCAGTGCTATAATGTTAAAATCATTGTCAATGGAGCATTGGTGAATCCTGTGAAATCGTTGGATTATTGCTGATCGCTGTGATATGACTGGGTTATTTACAAGTCACTGTGATATTGCTGGATTATTTCCAGACTGCAGTGAGGGAGTGTGGTTTTTATGCCGCTTTTAGCAATATTCCAGCAAAATCACGGCGGGGACACCAGAAATGGGCTTCACAGATTGTACCCATGTCAGGAATCGAACCCGGATCTTCGGCGTGATGAGTGAACGCTTTAACCACTAGGCTACCCGACCCCCATCCCCGAGACTGCTGTGATATGACTGTATTACTGCGGGCTGCTACATATACACTCACTTACAATTAACACCCAGTTTTCCATTTTACAGGGTGACTCTTGGATGGTTTTGTCAAAGGATGCTGATGACTTCAAGTCCATGGCAGACGCAGATTTATTTGATAGTGGTAGCTCCAGCATGAAGTCCTCTAACACCGACGAACTTGGCGACCTCTTCTCCAGCACCAGCAGCAAGGGTGGCACCAAGGCTCACGGGAGTACATTTGATGACCTGTTTGGGGGAGGACCCGCTGATAAGAAGGCAAAGAAGAGTTCATCCAGTCATGGATCCACCTTTGAAGATTTGTTTGAGGACTCCAAACCTAGTGGCACATCTGTACAGCAGGGTAGTGCCATGGATGACTTGTTTGGAAGTGTCAAGTCCAGCACAGTTTCTGGTACTGATTCTTCTTTGGTTGATCTGTTTGGAAGTGGTGGTGCAAAGCAGTCGAGCCAGACGTCAAGTAAGAGCAATGGAGCTCAACTTGTGGATATATTTGGTGATTCTGAAAGTGGGAAATCAGACGCTATTTTTTCCAGCAAGAATACTGATGACCTTGATGAACTGTTCAAAAGTGACTCGAAAAAATCTGAGAAAACTCCTGAGGATATTTTTGGGAGTTCGAGTGAAAAGAAGTCTAGTTCTGGAATAGATATGTCCAGTAACAAAAGTGACGACACACTTGATATCTTCAAAGAATCCACTGTGAAAACATCTAGTTGTAAAACAAATTTAGATGACCTGTTTGGCAGTTCTTCTCAGACGACAAAGTCCATGGAATCGGTTACAGCGGTTTTGTCTACAGATGACGCCATGTTCACCAATGGTAAGAGCAGCAGGACTAGCAGTGACCTTGATGACCTCTTCGCCAGGGATACAGCCAGCAGCAAGACAGCAGCAGCAGCAGCAGATACCGAGAACACTCCTGACACTGTGGATGGGAAGGTTGATGTTCTCATCTCACCTGGGGCAGAGCAAGCTAAGGTAAGCTACATGACTTCAACCTGGGCTAGAATAGGGCTTCAGCAACCGATGCTTGTCATCGTCATAAGAAGTGATTGCATGTCATTGTACCCTGACTGGGTGGATTGTTGCTCACAATATTGATCATTTATCCAGACTTTTGTATTGGTTTAAAAATGTCCCCACATTTTTTGAAAACCCTGGTGGCCTTTTTTGGGCTGTACATCTTGAATTCTAGCATAGGCACTGGAGCTATGAAAGACATTTTATGATTGCTTAATGTGAGGTTAGAAGAAGCTCTCAGTACCATAGCTGTCAGCTCCCAATCATTCCGTGTGATGCTTTGGCAACAGAACTCATGCTCTCAAGCACATCAACATGAACATGCAAAATTTCACAAGTATTTGCTGTTAAATGTAACAGGTTATACTTTCTGAGTAAAGTACAGATTCTCATACTTTTTTGGGTTGAGTCCCGCCTGGGATTCGAACCCACACTGCCAGAGTGAGGCACCTAATCGCCAGCACACAAAGTCAGCGATCTTACCCAGCAAGGCTTCCACAAAAATGAAAGTCAGACAACTGGTAGTCTAGATCACATACTTTGTGTACCCCCCTGACAAGTGTAAATTGGCACGGCTCCCATGTCTGAAAGCTGTGAACACACGACACCATTTAGAAAGTGGTCAAATGTTACACATGTTAATTGTGTGTTCATATTTGCTGTTAAATATCTATGGTTTCATAATATATTTTAGAGTTGAAGTTACAGTTGCCAGGCTTGCAGTGTGCTACTGCATGTCAGTAGGTCACTGAAGGTGTACCATTTCAGAGACCTGAGAATCTCAGGGGTAGAACAGGTCTTCAGCAACCCATGCTTGTCATGAGAGGCGACTATGCTTGTCGTAAGAAGCGACTAATGGGATCGGGTGGTCAGGCTCACCGACTTGGTTGATACATGTCATCGTATCAATCACGGGATTATCTGTTCCAGACTCGATTATTTACAGACCGCCGTCATATAGCTGGAATATTGCTGAGTGTGGCATTAAACAACATTGGTTGGTTGGTTGGTTTGTTGTTTTATGGCAAGCATGGGTTGCTGAAGACCTATTCTACCCCAGAATCTTCATGGGTCCATTAAACAACAAACAAACAAACAAACAAACAAAAAACAAAACAATTTCAGGAAACATTTCTCTCCATGTTTCAATGAAATCAGTTATTTGTGTTGCTTGTGTTTAAATTCAACAACCAGATTCAGTTGCCACTTCCCCCTTTACAGAATAAAGGAAGTAGAATACATTTCTAACATTCTTTCACAGTAGCAGCTAGTTTCTATTCATTGATGTCCCCGCAACTGTTCATGCATTTAACATGTAGAAGCCTGTCATGCTTCTGTCGGACCATTTCTCAGGAAACACCTTCAACAAGTGACATGCTCAGCTGCAGCATAAAACAATAAGACTTGCGATAATAATTGAACAAATTCAATAGACTGTAGCAGCCGTAATATTTCCTGGACCCGTACAGACGCCTTTTCCACTTGACCAAGAAGGTTAAACTGACAGAAAGCCAACATGGTAAGGATAGCATCTGTGGGATGACTCCATGCTCTTCTATTTATACAGTAACATGCTACTGATTTGTCAAGTGAGTGGTTGGGATTAGAACAGGTCCCCAGGAACCTGTGCGGTCATGTTAGACTGCTTGACTCCTGAGAGTTTCTAGAGTTCTAGGGCCTCGGTCCTGCCCCACACTCAACACATGTAGCACATGTGCTGTCTCTTTTGGGAGCAGTTCAAAAGTTTGATGCTGGATAAAAAAAACTTATTTCCTTAAATTTTGAGGTGGGGGAGTTAATGGCCCTGCAAGTTTTCGACCTGACAAAATCAACCTACTTGATTTCTCAACAAGTGCTCAATATTATATACAGTAACTAAACTTAGAACATCCTTTTTTCATTCATATGCTGTTGTTATGTGGTTAGGAGTTGTCATAAGATACATTCAGTCTTTTTACGAGGTAGGTTTTCATTTTTTACGAGGTAGGTTTTCTCTTTTTACGAGGTAGGTTTTCTCTTTTTACAAGGTAGGTTTTCTCTTTTTACGAGGGAGGTATCCAATAGTGGTAAGGACTTATAAACCTCCACTGATGTCATACTATTGTTCTTCAGTCGGGTTAAATCTCATAAACAGGGATGTTGTAATGTCGCCAGGATTTGATTAATACAACTTCCATTTAGATTGTGACATATGAATATTTCTCGCTAGAAATGTATTGTGCATTTGAACACAATGTAAAGAAATGTAAATTAAATGACAAATGTTTTCTTATGTTCCTGAGGATCGAACACATAACCTTTTTATCTGTAGCCCAGTGAGTGTACCACTAGGCTACAGCCGCGCTGATAAATCACAATGCTTTTAAGATTGTCTTTTTCAAATACCGTACGCCAGCAACAGATATTTTACACCTGTTTCCCAAGGTTCACGGAAAGTATGTTTAAAACATGAAAATGTTGATAAATGTTGTTTTAAGTGTTTCTTTTTATTTATATGTTAGATAAAAGACATCCCCTCATGTTTTTATGATATTTAAGACCCTCATCCTTGGGATAAAACCTTGGGGCTGACGCCCCTCGGTTTCAAATATAAAAACCCACAGACATGCTTTGTCCTATACATCTAGTGCAGTGTTTAAGATAGAATGGCAGATTTGATATGTAAAACCCATCAAATGATTTTCAACACCAAATAAATAAACTTCAGTTGATAAACGTTCTGAAAAAGCAGGGCAAAACACAAGAATAGGTGACAAAAAAGGCCACTTAACTCAGGAATTCAACATTTTCATAATGAAGGTTTTTTGGAGTGGAGGGGGGGGAGAGGGTGTGTCTATTTTTTTTTTATCTGACATCCATCTTGGGGATACGTCTAGTTTTTTTATCCAACATCAAACTTTTAAACTGGTTCCTTGGACAAGTGACTTTGTTTGACATTTACCTCTTCACCCAGCAATGAATGGGTACCCGGTAGGATCAGATAGTAATGTTACTGTTAACCTTCTAGTCGCGTGTCTTCGTATCCCGACGGTGATCATAATATCAAGAGGTCAGGTGGATAAAGTGTCTAACCAGAGAGGGTTCGATCCCTGACCGCGTCATACCAAAAGACGTTAAAAGATGGTACTTGTTGTTACTCTGTCTGGCGCTTGGCATTAAGGGGCTAAAACAAGGACTGGTCGGCTCGGAGTCAGTATACTGTGTCTGAGTGGGGTATTCATGCTAAACTGCGGCATGGTATCTCAGTGATGTAGCACTATAAATCAGCATCAGTCTGGCCTAGTACAAGCAGCCACACACACACACGTACATGCACGTCGCTATATAAGTGCATTTATCTTGGATGTGACGTTAAACCTCATTTCACCTCTTTAGAGCTTTAGAACTGTGCTTATGTTTCAGCGAAACAGCAGCAGTGATTTTGGAGACACGGAACCACATGAGTTGGACTTCTCTGTGATTGAGGTATCTACATTGTTAAACTTGTCAGGCTTGCTTAATATATTACAGCTAGAACAATGCAGCCCAGGATCTGGGTTAGGATAGGTCCCCAGGTACTTATTCTGGTTGTAAGAGGTGACCAAAAGGATCGGGTGGTCAGACCGTCTGTCCGTCAGTCCATCCTTCCTTCCATCTGCTTTTCAAAGGGGACAAATTTTAGTCAGAGAAAAAACATTTTTCAGACTTATTTCACTGGTCATGATCTCAAATGAAAGTTTGTGTCGCCAATTATTGTTTTACAGAGTTATGGCCCTTGTTCTGTGCCTTCCAACTTAGTGCGTACTGTGTGAAATGGAGACAATTTTTTGCAAAATACTGAAGTTATGTGAATGAAAGTTTGCATGCTTATATAAGAGATACTTATCAAGATGGAGTTTGAAATTTGGACCCGTAAATTATCTTTTTACAGAGTTACAGCCCTTGATCCATGTTAGTTTACTTGGTGCATAGTGTCTGCAATGGAGACAAATTTTCTAAGGAACTACTGACGTTTGCTTATCTAAGAGATGAGAATGGGTCTTTTGTATGTATTAATTTTACATTAGTCATCTTTTCTGATGCCATGAAGCGGTCCAAGTGCCTATCTCTTCTTAAGGCTTTTAGGAATCTATTTTATGGTATATATTTACTACTATATGAACAAACAAAATTCTAACATGCCCCATGGATTTGATGACTGGAATAGTTTCACTTATGCTACTTTTCTCAAACAAATGTATTTCATCATCTCTGTCTGAATTCATCTGAATCTCTTGTTATGGACGACAGACCTTGGATTTTGATCATTATGCTCATATCACCTAGGATACATCATTGCTGGATCCAAACATAAATAGAAGCAAATCATCACTACGGAAACGGAGCTCACTGGCACGGAGGAAGAAGCCCACTCGCAGCAGCATGAGACGAGTGTTTCAGCAGCCGGAGGATGGTCTCAGCGTCAGCCCTTCAAGTGCAGGTAGGTTGTCTGCAGAGGAAATACTGTACTCAGTGCCTTTCCCTCCAGTGCAGGTCGGTTGTCTGCAGAGGACGTTCTTAGTCCAGCAGTCAGAGGACGCACCTAGTGTTGACCCCTCCAGTGCAGGTCGGTTGTCTGCAGAGGACGTTCTTAGTCCAGCAGTCAGAGGACGCACCTAGTGTTGACCCCTCAAGTGCAGGTAGGTTGTCTGCAGAGGACATACTGTACTCAGTGCCTTTTCCTCCAGTGCAGGTCGGTTGTCTGCAGAGGACGTTCTTAGTCCAGCAGTCAGAGGACGCACCTAGTGTCGGCCCCTCAAGTGCAGGTAGGTTGTCTGCAGAGGACTTCCTTAGTCCAGCAGTCAGAGGACGCACCTATTGTCGGCCCCTCAAGTGGCTAGTGGCAACTCTTGCAACTCTGCATTGGTCTAGTTTCACACTTTGGTATGGGTTAGTGGCCACTCTTGCATTGGGAAGATGTAAACGGGGTCTAGTTTCACACTTTGGTATAGGTTAGTGGCCACTCTTGCATCGGGAAGATGTAAACTGGGTCTAGTTTCACACTTTGGTATAGGTTAGTGGCCACTCTTGCATCGGGAAGATGTAAACCGGGTCTAGTTTCACACTTTGGTATAGGCTAGTGGCAACTCTTCCATTGGGAAGATGTAAACTGGGTCTAGTTTCACACTTTGGTAGAGGCTAGTGGCAACTCTTGCATTGGGAAGCTGTAAACGGGGTCTAGTTTCACACTTTGGTATAGGTTAGTGGCCACTCTTGCATCGGGAAGATGTAAACCGGGTCTAGTTTCACACTTTGGTATAGGCTAGTGGCAACTCTTCCATTGGGAAGATGTAAACTGGGTCTAGTTTCACACTTTGGTAGAGGCTAGTGGCAACTCTTGCATTGGGAAGCTGTAAACGGGGTCTAGTTTCACACGTTGGTAGAGGCTAGTGGCCACTCTTGCATCGGGAAGATGTAAACTGGGTCTAGTTTCACACTTTGGTAGAGGCTAGTGGCCACTCTTGCATCGGGAAGATGTAAACTGGGTCTAGTTTCACACTTTGGTAGAGGCTAGTGGCCACTCTTGCATTGGGAAGCTGTAAACTGGGTCTAGTTTCACACTTTGGTAGAGGCTAGTGGCAACTCTTGCATTGGGAAGCTGTAAACTGGGTCTAGTTTCACACTTTGGTAGAGGCTAGTGGCCACTCTTGCATTGGGAAGCTGTAAACTGGGTCTAGTTTCACACTTTGGTAGAGGCTAGTGGCCACTCTTGCATTGGGAAGCTGTAAACTGGGTCTAGTTTCACACTTTGGTAGAGGCTAGTGGCAACTCTTGCATTGGGAAGCTGTAAACTGGGTCTAGTTTCACACTTTGGTAGAGGCTAGTGGCAACTCTTGCATTGGGAAGCTGTAAACTGGGTCTAGTTTCACACTTTGGTAGAGGCTAGTGGCCACTCTTGCATTGGGAAGCTGTAAACTGGGTCTAGTTTCACACTTTGGTAGAGGCTAGTGGCCACTCTTGCATTGGGAAGCTGTAAACTGGGTCTAGTTTCACACTTTGGTAGAGGCTAGTGGCAACTCTTGCATCGGGAAGATGTAAACTGGGTCTAGTTTCACACTTTGGTAGAGGCTAGTGGCCACTCTTGTAACGGGAAGATGTAAACTGGGTCTAGTTTCACACTTTGGTATGGGCTAGTGGCCACTCTTGTATCGGGAAGATATTAACTGGGTCTAGTTTCACACTTTGGTATAGGCTAGTGGCCACTCTTGCATTGGGAAGATGTAAACTGGGTCTAGTTTCACACTTTGGTATGGGCTAGTGGCCACTCTTGCATCTAGAAGACGTAAACTGGGTCTAGTTTCACACTTTGGTATAGGCTAGTGGCCACTCTTGCATGGGGAAGATGTAAACTGGGTCTAGTTTCACACTTTGGTATAGGCTAGTGGCCACTCTTGCATGGGGAAGATGTAAACTGGGTCTAGTTTCACACTTTTGTATGGGCTAGTGGCCACTCTTGCATGGGGAAGATGTAAACTGGGTCTAGTTTCACACTTTGGTAGAGGCTAGTGGCAACTCTTGCATTGGGAAGCTGTAAACTGGGTCTAGTTTCACACTTTGGTAGAGGCTAGTGGCCACTCTTGCATGGGGAAGATGTAAACTGGGTCTAGTTTCACACTTTGGTAGAGGCTAGTGGCAACTCTTGCATTGGGAAGCTGTAAACTGGGTCTAGTTTCACACTTTGGTAGAGGCTAGTGGCCACTCTTGCATGGGGAAGATGTAAACTGGGTCTAGTTTCACACTTTGGTAGAGGCTAGTGGCCACTCTTGCATGGGGAAGATGTAAACTGGGTCTAGTTTTACACTTTGGTAGAGGCTAGTGGCAACTCTTGCATCAGGAAGATGTAAACTAGGTCTAGTTTCACCATGGTGGGCGGTCGGGTAGCCTAGTGGTTAAAGCGTTCGCTCGTCGCACAAAAGCCCCGGGTTCCTACCGACATGGGTACAATCTGTGAAGCACATTTCTGGTGTCCCCCGCCTTGATATTGCTGGAATATTGCTAAAAGCAGCGTAAAACCATACTCACCCACTCACACTTTGGTATGGGCTAGTGGCCACTCTTGCATCGGGAAGATGTAAACTGGGTCTAGTTTCACACTTTGGTAGAGGCTAGTGGCCACTCTTGCATTGGGAAGCTGTGAACCGGGTCTAGTTTACACTTTGGTAGAGGCTAGTGGCCACTCTTGCATCGGGAAGATGTAAACTGGGTCTAGTTTCACACTTTGGTAGAGGCTAGTGGCCACTCTTGCATTGGGAAGCTGTGAACCGGGTCTAGTTTACACTTTGGTAGAGGCTAGTGGCCACTCTTGCATCGGGAAGATGTAAACTGGGTCTAGTTTCACACTTTGGTAGAGGCTAGTGGCCACTCTTGCATTGGGAAGATGTAAACTGGGTCTAGTTTCACACTTTGGTAGAGGCTAGTGGCCACTCTTGCATTGGGAAGATGTAAACTGGGTCTAGTTTCACACTTTGGTAGAGGCTAGTGGCCACTCTTGCATCGGGAAGATGTAAACTGGGTCTAGTTTCACACTTTGGTAGAGGCTAGTGGCCACTCTTGCATCGGGAAGATGTAAACTGGGTCTAGTTTCACACTTTGGTATAGGCTAGTGGCCACTCTTGCATCGGGAAGATGTAAACTGGGTCTAGTTTCACACTTTGGTATAGGCTAGTGGCCACTCTTGCATCGGGAAGATGTAAACTGGGTCTAGTTTCACACTTTGGTATAGGCTAGTGGCCACTCTTGCATCGGGAAGCTGTGAACTGAGACCCCGAATTGATCGTTATAGATATGTCAGAATTGAAATATATGTGTCATGATTGGTGTAGATGGAGACAGGGATGAAGTGGAAGATGAGGCTAAGCCAGAGGAAGAACCTGAGTCTGTCGTCGCCAAGGAGAAGGACGAGGACAAGAAGCCTGAAGTTGGCCGGAAGTGCCCTGTAGCTGGTGGGAGACTGCTCCTTGGGCCTGATGTCCTCGCACAGTCACAGGTAACAGCAGTATTACCAACAGATTTGTTTGTTGGTTTGTTGTTTAACGCCCTACTCAGCAATATTCAAGCTATATGACGGCGGTCTGTAAATAATCAAGTCTGGACCAAACAATCAAGTGATTGACATCATGATCATTGATCCATACAATTGGGATACGATGACATGCATAAACCAAGTCAGCAAGTCTGACTACCCGATCCCGTTAGTTGCCTCTTATGACAAGCATAGTTGCCTTTTACGGCAAGCATAGGTTTCTGAAGACCTATTCTACCCCGGATCTTCACGGGTCTATTATTAACAGAACTAAGATTTTATTACCAACAGAACTCAGATGGCAACTGTATATGGAGGGTTAGAAATGCACTTTCACTTGTCCACAGAAATGATCAGTTAGACTTGTCATCTACCTAATGGTAAAATTGGTAGCCTACAAAGAATTGTAACTAGTCCTTCCTGAATTTTATTATCTCAGGAAGCAGACGTGTGTTAATTTCGAACCCTGTGATATATATTTAACATAAAATGGGTAGGTTTCTTGGCAGGATAAAGCCAACGGATAAAAACGATATCAGTTGGGTCATATGCGGATAGAGATGCAAATATAAAAGGTCAAGTAGGGACAACTTTCTGTGTTTATAAACAAACATGGCATTGCCCTTGTCATTTGGTGATCGAGTCAGAATTAACCATCTGGAATCTGGAGAAACTACTGGGATAATTGCTATCATTATCAAAAGAACAGTCTAATATACTGAAAATCACTAACTGTGACGCAGCTAAGGCATTTACAAGTTTTGACAACATTGGAGATATACATTGCGAAACAATTTTGCGAGGGCACTAGGGGGGCTAGCCAAGCGGGATCAGTTGCCATATCTGTGCTTGTAGACCTCTGTGGCTTGGAACCTTTTCCATAAATTAAAACAATTGGATTTGGCCGAAATATGTAAAAAATTATTAACTTGTTTCATTGTGTCAGTATGTGTTCATCTGACTACTTCATCACGTTATGACAGGCCAGGCCAACTGTCAACAAGGTCTGACTGTGGCCATGACGCCTGGTAGAGTTAGAGTAGCTTCTCTTTTGATAAAGGGCAGTTATTCTGGTGGACAGACTTTAGGATTGCCGCGAAAGGCAAGGAGAAACAATTTGTGTAGGCAATTGTTGTTTTGCATATATATGATTAAGCCACTGTATAAGAAACAGGTTTCAGTTAAGACTATATTGGCTACTGTCACTGTCCGACAGACACGTCACTTACCCTCTGATGTAGTATATATTAATGCACTCATTCCAGGAAAACTTGCAATGTTTAGGAAACGTTTGTGAAAGATGGGAAGAGATTTTTCGAGCACAATTGAAGCATGACATTATATGATAAAGAGGTTATCACTCTTGTGTGTTTGGGGATGGTAAATATCCTGTATTAGGAATATGCACTATGTATTTAGCTCGCCAAGGTTTGCTAAATACAATGTTTATTCCCAATACAGGATATTTATTATTCCCAAACACACTCAAGTGATAACCTCTATTGATCATGATCATTTCTTTTCTTGGCATGATGACTTACAAGATTGCTGAAGAGGCGTATGGCATGATGTACTTACTCCAGTAACATTTCTTTCCATGATGTTTTGTACTGCAGCTGCTGAAGGGTATTGGCAGCAAGAGAGGTCAACCATCAACCAAGATTGACAAGGTTGACAACGAGGTCGCAGCTGGAGGTTCCTCTGTGGTCAAGGCTGAGTCCAAGCAGGTGCAGCTTCCCCCCGAGAAGCCTGTGGAGAAGTTGAAGGAGAAGTCCGTGGAGAAGGTTGAAAGGACGAAGGAGAAGGCAGAGGAGACTAAGGAGAAGGCCGAGGAGGTCGCCTCCTCCAGTGCTGGCCCAGAGAAGGAGGAAGCAGTCGGGAAGAAGGGCCCCATTGGAGGAAGGCTGGTGCTAGGACCTGATATGTTGGCTCAGTCTCAGGTAGTTTCTCAGCATACATTCGTGGAGACATCCATCCTCTGTCCATCATACTGTTGTATGTTACAAAAGACATTATGAATAATGAAGGAATTGAATTTTGACCAAAGAGAGTTTGTGTACAGTTCCCTATTACCTATAGACTGTTTTTTATTGGCTAGGCTGTTATGACCATACTAGGCTATTATGATTGCATCTGTTGATAATTTGACAGATATGGAGGGGTTGAAGTAAACACAATTTGGTGACATGTTATTTGTAATTTTGGCAGCTACATTGGTCGGTATGAAAGGATGTCAACACTCAAATGATAATATTCTACATATCTTGTTGCATGATGTTAGGGCCCTTCGAGTGCATTTTGAATAAGTTGTTCATGCAATTGTCTCAGGTTGTACTCATGGCATTGTTGCATTTTCACTTCTAAAAGTTATCACATGGTGCCTCTGCAAGTTCATTTGAACCCAGGTACAATGTGAAGCCCATTTCTTGTGTCCCCCACCATGGTATTGCTGGAATATTGCTAAAAGTGGTTTGACAACCTCCTCACTCACCCATTTGAACATCAAAATATTATTAATCATTTTAAGACCAGAGAGTAATATATTTGTCATGTCTTTCCTGTAGCTGTTAAAAGGAATTGGGAACAAGCGAGGTCAGCCCTCCTCTACAGCTGATGCTGCCCCTGATCAAACAAATGGTGCTCCCTCTGTCTGTGAGCTCAATTCCATGGAGGATCTACAGAAACCTGTCATCAAATCAAGGAAACCACAACTCAGCCCCAGACCTAAACTGTCTCCACCCTCCGATCTTAAGACCACGACCCCGAGGTCTCGGTTGAAGGAGCCACAGCCTGGGGAGACTAAGAAAGGCTCCTTGTCCCTGTCTCAGGAGACTGGTAAGAGCAGTGTGTTTTCTACTGTGCTAAAGCCTACCGTGCCTCAGGAGAGTAGCAGCAACAAGACATCGTCTGTGACCTTGGAGAAGGTCAACCTCCGGTCAACCAGAAGCAGCAGCATCAACTCTGACTCAAAGGTCACCAGTCCCACGGTGGAGAACAATGTGATTCACGGGGAGCTGTCCGAGAGGAAGAACTCCCTGAGGAGAGTGTCGCCGGGGAAGAACAAGGAAGAGGAAGGGAAAGAGGAGAAGAAGGACCAGCCTGCCTGGCTAACCGGGATGAAGCTACGGAAGACTTCACCGGCAACCAGCGACACCAGCAGCACTGACACCAGGGGCTTCACCGAGCGCACTCCTGTGAAGACATCCGAGGCTAAAGGAGGCACGACCAGGGTTGAGATAGCGGTCAGTCCAAAGGCCAGTACTAGTGTCTGCACTACAACTCCTCGCATCCCCAGGGAGGACAGACCACAAGCAGTCCTCAAACCTCTGGTGGACCGGCCCAAACCCAAGATAGAAGGTGAACTATCTTTATCTTTAAGTTTAAGTTTAGAAACTGTGGTATCATTAAAAACAATCTTGACACAAGGATTTGGCTTCTTTATTCGTTGTGTGCCAAGTTTTTTGGACATATATAAAGCAAGGGCTTCCTAGATAGAGGTACTAGCACCTGTATCAAACTGTGGCATAGAAAGATTAAGTTATAATCCACTCCTTTTATTTTCCTTTAGAATCTTTATTCTTGTCAGGGACACGGATGGCCCAGTCATCTAAGGCACTATAATTTGCTGTGCAGTTGCCTCCCTTGGACATGCCAGCAACCTATGATTGTGGGTTCTAGTCCCGGTCGCTCCAAATATGTTTCTAGCGTAGTCAGCACCATGCATGCTTTTGAGTTTGACCAAAGTGATACATGTCTGAGAGCTGCATCACTTCGATTTTTCCAACCCCATTAATCTAACACTCTTTGGTATCATTAGAATCCTATTCAAAGTTGTGTTTAACCAGTCACTCTCTTTATCCTGGTCAAGAAGACATAGATGTTACATAGTGACCTATAATATTTTCACAAAGTTACTGTCAGCATCATATTTGAACACGTCTAGATGCTGCGACTTGTGCATGCCACCAACATTACTCAATAGGTGACACAGTATGATTTGGTTTAACGCCGCACTCAGCAATATTCCAGCTATATGACGGAGGTCTGTAAATAATCGAGTCTGGTTTGTTGTTTAACGCCGCACTCAGCATTATTCCAGCTATATTTTGGCGGTCTGTAAATATTTGAGTCGGGACCAGACAGTGCAGTGATTAATATCATAAGCATCGATCCACGCAATTGGGATCGGTGACATGCATCAACCAAGTCAGCGAGCCTGACCACCCGATCCTGTTTGTCGCCTCTTACGACAAGCATGGGTTGCTGAAGACCTATTCTACCCCGGATCTTCACGGCTCTGATACATAAATGTATGAAACCACTGCGTTTATCAAGTTGAAAATTATGTAAAGCATTCCAACAATTTTGTTCTATTTTAATTCAATATTTGTATGTGCTGATTCTGTTGGGAATGAAGATATCTTTTATTGCTTGTATGTTATTCTGATTTCTCTCTATGTATGTCTCAGCCAAGCCGAGTAGTGTGAACGGTCGCGGTGATGCATCAGTGAGCAAGTCTCCCCTCGGTGTACGGGACACCAACACCACTACTGAAGACCTGCCGTCATGGAAACGGGACCTGGCTGAGCGGCGGAAGAAGAAGAAAGAAGATCCAATCCCTGTAAGTCTCTCAGCATCAACCCATGGTGGTGTGTGGCTGGGGTTTTGTATAGAGGCTAGATATTGTTTCAGCTACAGCTGAAATAAAATAATATGGATCCCCAGCCACGTTATACCAAAAGATGCTACTTGTTGTTACCCTGCCTGGTGCTTGGCAATAAGGGATAAAACAAGGACTGGTGTCTCAGTGAGGTAGCAGTATAAAACCGGCATAGCTCCAGACTAGTTCAAGCAGCCACACACATCACCATATCAATTAAGGAAGAGAATTTGTGGATGTCAAATGCCAATCAGTGATAATTCGAGCCCTGCTATCACCTATCAGTGCCAATTAATTATTGGCTTCCCTTGTTAAGTGGGGTTACCTCATTACTGTTGCTGTTATTACAGGTACATGTATATGTTCACTGCTTCATAGCATTCATTCACCTGATGAAGGAGTAAGCATAAACTCCGAAATGATGTGTTTCTCATAATAAAAAAATTGACATCCATATATTCAATCCTTATGTGTATCACTTCTAAATGCCATTCAAAGACTACATTAATTATCTTGAAACCCCATTTCACCTCACGTCCTTGTGGAAATGGATATATAAAGAAATGTGATTGAAATTGAGTACCGTTCTTCCAGGCGAATGTGCTGACATGTAACATGTTGATGTTTGTTGTAGGGCACCCCTACTAAGTCTGACTCACCAGATGTGGCAGCAAACTGGCGTGCCCAGCTGTCACAGAAGAAGAGGAGGCCAGTGATGTCACCCGGAGGTGGGACATTAAAGTACTCTGTCTCACATTCATAGGCACTCAGTATGACATGCAGGCACACACTTAGACACAGATGTGTTCAGACAGGCACAAGGCTCCTCAGTCAGACACACGGGCTCTCAGTAAGACATACAGGCATACACTTAGACACAGATGTGTTCAGACGGGTACAAGGCTCCTCAATCAGACACTCAGTAAGACATGCAGGCACACACTCAGACACAGATGTGTTCAGACAGGCACAAGGCTCCTCAGTCAGACACACAGGCCCTCAGACATACAGGCACACACACAGACACATGGGTTTAGACAGGCACAAGGCTCCTCAGTCAGACATACATGCACTCAGTATGACATGCAGGCACACACTCAGACACAGATGGGTTCAGACAGGCACAAGGCTCCTCAGTCAGACACACAGGCCCTCAGACATACAGGCACACACACAGACACAGATGGGTTTAGACAGGCACAAGGCTCCTCAGTCAGACATACATGCACTCAGTATGACATGCAGGCACACACTTAGACACAGATGTGTTCAGACAGGCACAAGGCTCCTCAATCAGACACACAGACACTCAGTTAGACATACAGGCACACACTTAGACACAGATGTGTTCAGACAGGCACAAGGCTCCTCAATCAGACACACAGACACTCAGTTAGACATACAGGCACACACTTAGACACATATGTGTTCAGACAGGCACAAGGCTCCTCAATCAGACACACAGACACTCAGTTAGACATACAGGCACACACTCAGACACAGATGGGTTCAGACAGGCACAAGGATCCTCAGTCAGACACACAGACACTCAGTATGACATGCAGGCACACACTTAGACACAGATGTGTTCAGACAGGCACAAGGCTCCCCAGTCAGACACACAGGCACTCAGTATGACATGCAGGCACACACTTAGACACAGATGTGTTCAGACAGGCACAAGACTCCCCAGTCAGACACACAGACACTCAGTAAGACATGCACGTACAAACTCAGACACAGATGTGTTCAGACAGGCACAATGCTCCCCAGTCAGACACACAGGCACTCAGTATGACATGCAGGCACACACTTAGACACAGATGTGTTCAGACAGGCACAAGGCTCCTCAATCAGACACACAGACACTCAGTTAGACATACAGGCACACACTCAGACACAGATGTGTTCAGACAGGCACAAGGCTCCCCAGTCAGACACACAGACACTCAGTATGACATGCACGTACACACTCAGACACAGATGTGTTCAGACAGACACAAGGCTCCTCAGTCAGACACACATGCCCTCAGTAAGACATTGCAGGCACACACTCAGACACAGATGTGTTCAGACAGTCATGAGGCTCCTCAATCAGACACACAGGCACTCAGTAAGACATACAGGCACACACTTAGACACAGATGTGTTCAGACAGACACAAGGCTCCTCAGTCAGACACACAGACACTCAGTAAGACATACAGGCACACACTCAGACACAGATGTGTTCAGACAGGCACAAGGATCCTCAGTCAGACACACAGGCACTCAGTCAGACACACAGGCCCTCAGTAAGACATTGCAGGCACACACTCAGACACAGATGGGTTCGGACAGGCACAAGGATCCTCAGTCAGACACACGGGCACTCAGTAAGACATACAGGCACACACTTAGCCACAGATGTGTTCAGACGGGCACAAGGCTCCTCAGTCAGACACACAGACACTCAGTTAGACAATACAGGCACACACTTAGACACAGATGTGTTCAGACAGGCACAAGGCTCCCCAGTCAGACACACAGACACTCAGTATGACATGCACGTACACACTCAGACAAAGATGTGTTCAGGCAGACACAAGGCTCCTCAGTCAGACACACAGACACTCAGTAAGACATACAGGCACACACTCAGACACAGATGTGTTCAGACAGGCACAAGGATCCTCAGTCAGACACACAGGCTCTCAGTCAGACACACAGGCCCTCAGTAAGACATTGCAGGCACACACTCAGACACAGATGTGTTGAGACAGGCACAAGGCTCCCCAGTCAGACACACAGACACTCGGTAAGACATGCAGGCACACACTCAGACACAGATGGGTTCAGACAGGCACAAGGATCCTCAGTCAGACACACAGGCTCTCAGTTAGACATACAGGCACACACTCAGACACAGATGGGTTCAGACAGGTACAAGGATCCTCAGTATGACATACAGGCCCTCAGTAAGACATGCAGGCACACACTCAGACACAGATGGGTTCAGACAGGCACAAGGCTCCTCAGTCAGACACACAGGCCCTCAGACATATAGGCACACACTCAGACACAGATGTGTTCAGACAGGCACAAGGATCCTCAGTCAGACACACAGGCACTCAGTAAGACATACAGGCACACACTCAGACACAGATGGGTTCAGACAGGCACAAGGATCCTCAGTCAGACACACAGGCTCTCAGTTAGACATACAGGCACACACTCAGACACAGATGGGTTCAGACGGGCACAAGGCTCCCCAGTCAGACACACAGACACACAGTAAGACATGCACATACACACTCAGACACAGATGGGTTCAGACAGGCACAAGGCTCCCCAGTCAGACACACGGGCACTCAGTATGACATGCACGTACACACTCAGACACAGATGTGTTCAGACAGGCACAAGGCTCCTAAGTCAGACACACAGACACTCAGTATGACATACAGGCACACACTCAGACACAGATGGGTTCAGACAGGCACAAGGATCCTCAGTCAGACACACAGGCACTCAGTAAGACATACAGGCACACACTCAGACACAGATGGGTTCAGACGGGCACAAGGCTCCCCAGTCAGACACACAGACACTCAGTATGACATGCACGTACACACTCAGACACAGATGTGTTCAGACAGGCACAATGCTCCCCAGTCAGACACACAGACACTCAGTATGACATGCACGTACACACTCAGACACAGATGTGTTCAGACAGGCACAAGGCTCCCCAGTCAGACACACAGACACTCAGTATGACACGCACGTACACACTCAGACACAGATGTGTTCAGACAGGCACAAGGATCCTCAGTCAGACACACAGGCTCTCAGTTAGACATACAGGCCCTCAGTAAGATATTCAGGCACACACTCAGACACAGATGTGTTCAGACAGGCACAAGGATCCTCAGTCAGACACACAGGCTCTCAGTTAGACACACATTCAGTCAGACACACAGGCTCTCAGTTAGACATACAGGCCCTCAGTAAGACATTCAGGCACACACTCAGACACAGATGTGTTCAGACAGGCACAAGAATCCTCAGTCAGACACACAGGCTCTCAGTTAGACACACATTCAGTCAGACACACATTCAGCCAGACACACAGACACCCAACCAGACACAAAGAAGCACTGTCAGGCACTCTGCTATTCCACTTCATCATTTTCTATGATATGGATATTGACTTGTTTTTCTCCAACAGGAACTATCACTTGATATTAAACTTGCAAACACTTGTGCTAATGAAACGGATCCTTCAGTATTAAGCGACCAACTGTGCCTGTTCTAGCTGAATTCTTATACAAGAATCTGCTTGTGTTGTGCAGGAGATGCTAAGGCAAGCCCCGACAGCAAGCAGCCGGAGTGGGCCATGCAAGCAGAACAACGCAGAGCAAGGCTTGTCAGTGAGTACAACTTCCACTTGTTGTCTATGAAGTTTATTGAGGAGAGATATTGTCAAGGAATACAAGGAGACACAAACATCATATACGATCAGCCACTTGAGTCTGTAGACAGGGTCATGCCAGAAGTCTGATCAAACATTATGAAAGATATACTTCAGGGTAAATATACACGTTGTTAGATATGCAAAGATACATCACATGCAATCATCTATGTATTAACTGACGTCACATAGACAAAGATCATAGTGTTCTGCTTCTAGTGATCAAGCAGAACTCATGTATTTAACAAATACATTCAAGGATGTTGCTTGTTACATTAACTTTGCAGGGATTTATCTAGACCTGATCAGAGGCAGATATTCATCCTAAATGTCTGTAAAGATTCTCAAATGGGAAGTGGGAATTTCCTATTTCATGTAAATATAAACCTCTACATCACTAAGGCTACTCCGTCTTCCCGCGGCAAGGGAATTAACGGACTACAAAAGTCCAGTTTCCACCCTTGCCGAACTAGACTGGAAACTTGACTTTTACAGTCCGTTACCTCCCTTGCCTCGGGAAGATGGGAACTACATGACTAGTTCCATGTGGACCTGATCATCACTGATATAGTTTGAGAGTCCCTGGTTTGTATTTTCAGAGTCCGGACTTATTGGGCAGAAGTGAACACGAGAATCTTAAAACAACAAATCCTATATAAAGTCCTTCATCCTTCCTGCTCAGCAGCTCGTGATGTGAAGCTTGTACAGTGAGCTGGACACCCCTAGGGCAGGGTGTGCCCAGGGAGGGACCACACCCCCGTGTAGTCATCTCTCATCATTCCACTGTTATTCACTACTCTTAAGCAATCTTAAGTGTTAATGGTGCTCAAATTGTTGTATATTACGTATTGTTAATTCTAGACATATGTCAACATTGGAGACTCAACAATTATGAAGACCAGGTTTTGCAATGTCCGTGTGGGTTGTCTGTCAACACAGCATACAGCTCCATCTTCAAGTTATCGTCAAATTGTCACGAGAAAATTTGGCCTCAAACTTATGACAGTTACTATGGATGCAGTGAATTGTATTACAGCATACATGTATGTATGTATATACTTGCACTCTCTTCTGATGTCTAATCCTTCATTGTATGATTTGTCTTGGATTGATATGTCAGTGTTTGCGCTGATGTTGTTGTATTAGCTCACCTGATGCTGTACATATTAGCTCACCTGGTCATCAGCCACTAGAGTGTGTGCAGGGGTGTCCCATCAGTTGGTATTAAATCTTGCTGTCATATGAACATTTCCAGGCAATGATAACTCAACAAATTATACATTTTTATGTCAAATTCCTCAAAAGACACGGCTGTAAATTCAGTTGAATTTCAACCACCCAAAGTAAGTCAAAGTCACATTTAAAGGCTCAATTGGAGTTGTATTTGGCCTGTATGTTGTGTTTAGAGACAGGTCACATGTAGACACAGGTCAAACCAACCTGGCAATAATTAGTATGTCAAGGTCACATGATAATTGCAGTGACACAAAACTCGATTAGAGGACAAATCTGAAAGGATTAATGGTTGTGTCATTTCTGGTGTTAATTCAGTGTCCACTGAATCTGTTTACCAGAAACGGTTTGCATCGTTCATGTGATGAACATGTAATATATAATGTGGTTAGAGTGAAGTGTTGAGTTGCTGTTAATATTAATATTAGCATACTTTGGTTGTTGTGACATATCCCGAGCTTGATACTTAGTGTGCCTTACCTACACTGACATATATAGTTGTTTGACGTTGTTTATATTATGTTTATAGTTTATTATTATTTTCTGGATATTCTTTGTAGATTCATATTGATATCCTTTGTAGATTCATATTGATATACTTTATAAATTTATAGTGATATCCTTTGTAGATTCATATTGATATCCTTTATGGATTCATTGTGATATCCTTTGTAGATTCATAGTGATATCCTTTGTAGAAGAACATCAGGGGGCAATTTATATGAATTTAGTATTAGTTATGAGTTGTTTTAGAATCGCTGCTGTTGATAGTATTTTTTCGTTAATGAATCGTTGCAAAAGTTGTTCAAGACAGTTTCAATGCAATCTTCTTTTTTTAATTAATTGTGTACTGATGTAATGGCATGATGCCTGGCAGGTCCCATCCTCTTTAATCCAGGGTACTATATAACCATTCTAGTACAGGGATTTACCAAGACCTGTTAAAAGGCTGATATTCGGGATATAAGTTTGCAGGAAATGTCAGTAAACATTCCAAAATTGGAATTAAGACATTCCCAATGATGTTAATGTTGTTATAACTAATGTATGGCTTTGTGAAGGTAACTTGTGCTTTGTCATTGTAAATTGTCATTGGGAACCAGACCAACGAAGAGGAACAGCCTTTAATGCTTAGTTTTACATTATTGCACTGTTAAGATACCTCATAATTTAGGAAAATGAGAACTTTAAAAAAATCCCAATTTACCTGCCAAGTTTAGAATCTAGATAAGTCTCTGTATGTGATAAATACCCTGGAACCTTTTTGCCACCATTTTGCTTTGGAAGTGACATCCTCATCTTCGTCTCTCTTATCTCTGGCTTTGCACATTTCTCTCACTTACAAGTACCGGTACTTGGATTGGACGGCAATGGTGGTAAAGGGGTTCATGGATTTTATCGTAACGGAATGGAGATAATAAACACTGGATAATTGAGGACGGTCAGGTCCTTCAGTTTTGTGTATAACCCAAGGTAACTACTCAGTCTGTTAAAGCAAAGACAAACGAAATACTCACTTGTAGATAGTGTTGTAGATTTCCAATTTATTACGATCAGATCTTTTCCTACGATACCATACCTCTCTGCATAAAGATCTGAGGACAGATCCATAGGAACTTTATGATCATCCCCATCAGCATTGAGGCTTCTCGATTCTCTGTATGAGTGAGGGAAGCATTCACACACTCATATTGTATTTCTGCCTCTCTAAAACCAATGCAATTGGGCAGTTCCAAATGCATAATAAATAAATAAAGCTGCTCTATAATATATTGTGGCTATTTTATGAAATCTGATATTTATGAGTGCCATTTGCATCTACACCCAAAAGGATGGTATGTCAAGGGTATATTTGTATGGGTTGTCTTTGACTACGATTAAAAATTCTGAATCAAGGTAGAAAAGAAAAGAAGCCAATCCATTTTAAGAAACTAATATCTGATGGCTCAAGAACCCACTCATCCTTCCCACAAATTTGGCGGTCAAAAACAGCTCGGGTCAGCCTGTCGCAAGGTGTGACGGAGGTGTTGTCAGATCTTCGCACAGAGAGGAATAATATCGGGGTAAAGGATCTGAAATTGGTAGATTTCAAGCATGGGCCTCCCCTGTGTTGTACAGCTTCCTACTGACTGTGATTACCCTGTACATTTCTCTCATGTCCTTTCCTCATCACCTCACTCTGAAACCAATTATTATGCAGTCTCTAGCAATATACATGGCTGTTGATTTCTTTTGCACATACATTGTAGTCATTGGGTGGTTAGATTTTACTGGCTTATTGCTTAAAGGGGAAGTGTACACGCAAAAATCACTTTCTTTCTTTTTCTAAACAAAACGCAATTTTAGAATTAGTTAGTATCTGTGTTTGAAAATATACGCTCATTTTTTTTCACAGTGAAAGTAGGAAGCTCACAATAGTGTTAAAATGATATGTCGTTATGAGGCCTTCGTTTTACGAGCGAAATAGGCCTGAGTTATCCCCCTTAGATTATGACGTCATTGGTGCCAATTCAACTGGGTCCCTGTCTATTCTCAACGCAAAAGATATCAAGGACCAGTTTGCGGTAAAACAACATGGCCTACGACACACTCCGGCGCAGTGGTGACTCAGCATAACACTATGCTGGCTGGCATCTGAGACGCTAGAATCACACACCTAGACCTACACCACGTGAAGCGGCTCTAACAAAGCATGATGACGTCATAATGTTTATCAATTGGCACCAATGACGTCATATTGCAAGGGGCATAAGCAATGGTGTTTTTGTTGTGGAAATAGAACACTTGGTAAATGTGAAAAATATAAATCGTTTTAATGTGAAAAATATGTTAATTAATTGTGATATCTTTATATTTTTGTCTATGACACTTCTAGGTTAACACTTTTAATGTGGAAAAAGTACAAGAAAAATAGGTTAATTTCCGTGTGAACTTGCCCTTTAACAATGATATCATGTACGAAAATTGGTAGTTGTAGATTGTAGATTATCAGATTTGTGACACTGTAAGTGACTGATTGCTCAAAACAAATGTTGTGAAATCCCATTATTGGTGAAATGCTTTAATGTTGTAATTTTGTTATGATTTTTACAAATTTAATGTTGACTGCATTTGATGTTTTAGTGCTTGAGTGCATATCAAGAAAGGGGGATAACTGCTTTGTTGCAAATCCTATCAAACTGCTACAGCCATGCTACAGTAACTGATAGCCAAGATGAGTCGAGTGACTGGTAGGGCAACTGTCACACTGGCTATCGGTGCGTTGATGTTTCATAAATGGCTTAGCTTTATAGTTTATTTTATCTTTTTTATTTTCTTACACTATTTTTCTTTCATGTAAGGAGCTCTTTGAGTGAACTATATGGATGCTGAATGCTGAGGTGCTAATGATTGTCCATATGCCGGTCTGTGAGATCTCCAGCAATTCTAACTGTTGCTAATCACGTGTCACAGGACATGCCAGAGAACCGTACCTGTTTGACAACGCTTGACTCCCATTCGGTCAGTATCCATCTGTTTATCAGAGGATGTAGATGTCTACTCATCGAGATGTATGACATACAGAACTGCTAGTATATACACATCTTGACAGTACCCAGCGTCTCCTAGTTTTGTGATGATCAAACGGAGTTTAAAATCCAGTATTAAATCCAGCCATTGTGCAGACATATTTCACAGCTAAACAGGGCAGTAATTATCTATCATTAAAACACATCTGTGACGTTATTCTATTGTTTGAACACTCCATTTTTTTTCAGGAATGGAGAGTTGCTTGTCAACTGTACATAATCTTGAAGCAGCATTTGAATTTTTCAAATATTTTCAACTACAGAACATTTTGTCAAAGTAGGGATGAGTTTTTTAAAGTAGGGGAATATCCTCGTTACTCTCCATTCCTTAAAAATAATGGGCCTCTGCTCCATTATTTTTTATTATTTGGAGAGTTACGAGGATATTCCCCTCTACGTAATGCTGCAGAGGCTGCTGCAGTGTTGACTGATCTCTTGATGCTGATGGTTGAATCCCCGTTTTCATGGTTATGTTTCAAGGTTTGTGAGTTCCAATTGGTGCTGGTGGTTTTCACCAAAGTAGTAAATGTCTGAGACCTGCGGCACTTCAGGCTTTCCTCCAACAGCATGAGGACATGCCGTGAAAACTGAAATACTGTTTAATGCGGTTTTCAACCAAACACACTCTCTCACTTCGCATGTGGCAAGACAGCCATGTTCTTATTTCAAAGTGTCGAAAATCGATTCCTTTATGTAACTTTTTAACTGATGCTTTTTGGTGGCATGGAATTAGTTCCTTGACTGTTCTTGACCGTTTGCATTTAAGAACAAGTTTGCAAGACATTAACAATTTATGTTGATAACTCTTTCTTAATTTTTATTACCAAATTTTGTCCCTTTTATATTTTTGTCCTACATTGTCGTCTGTGAATGAGATTTGATGTTGACTTTGTGTCAAACACATATGTATGTCCGATGCATCTGTAAGTCCGAAGCATCTGTATGTCCGATGCATCTGTATGTCCGATGCATCTGTAAGTACGATGCATCTGTATGTCTGATGCATCTGTATGTCCGATGCATCTGTATGTCCGATGCATCTGTATGTCTGATGCATCTGTAAGTACGATGCATCTGTATGTCTGATGCATCTGTAAGTACGATGCATCTGTATGTCCGATGCATCTGTAAGTCTGATGCATCTGTATGTCCGATGCATCTGTAAGTCTGATGCATCTGTAAGTCAGAAGCATCTGTATGTCCGATGCATCTGTACATCCAATGCAACTGTGTGTCTGATGCATCTGTACGTCCGATGCATCTGTATGTCCGATGCATCTGTATGTCCGATGCATCTGTCTGTCCCATGCAGCTGCAGCTGTATGTCTCCCTCAAAGAGCACATGAAGGTTTTTAATGTGTATTGAAAGTGGCAAGGTTCATTATTCAAATTGCGAACATCTGACTACTGTCAGATGTTGCGGAGGTTCTCATGTC